CAACACTCTGGCACCCCATCCTAACACTCTTCCAAGCGACACCGCACCCATCAATCCACCCATTACTGCCCTCCATGGGCATTCCGCTGCACCCACCCCTCCCATCCCATCCCATGGGCCACATCACTCACAGCCACCCCAGCACGCCGACACTGCCCCGTCACCCACGCGAGCCGGTCCTCCCTCAGTCCGCGCAACACCTCTCCCGATCACGATCCACCCGCACACACGTCCAGCCCCTTCTTCCACACGCCCCGCACTCTCTCCCCTCCAGCCCACACCACCGAATCCGGGGACATATCTCGCACTACTACGAACCTGCTTCCAACCCTAGACCCCCCCGCACCACGCTCTGGTCCACCACGTACCCTCCCCATACCGCCTATCTCCATCCCAGTCAGGAAACATCACACAACCCCATCACATTGACCTCATGTGATGTCCCACTCCACACCACCTACCCCTCACGAACACTCCAAACCTCCGTTGGGCAGCGCACGCAAACCACCCCAACGGCTACATGCCCACTGGGCACAGATCGTTCACACCCAGCATCCTCCAATATGCAGCATACCACAAACAACCCCACTGAGACAACCATCCAACATACAAACAATGACAGCACCGAGCCGCCAAGCCCACTAGCCGTACAGCCAACGGGACAGCCCCACAGCCATCTCACCCCTCCTACTGGCTCCACTGAACACCCACATCGTCCACAGCCAGCCAAACGCCACTACTCCGATATTGAACCAGACCTCGATTTTCCCCACCCCTCGTTCAACTTTCCACCGATCAAGCGGCACCACGACATGCGCTACCCGCCCCCCACAATACCAACCGAATACCTACGAACCAGCACCGACCGAGCAGGGGGCAGCTGGCCAATCCATTGAAGACGACGACCAGGAGGAGTATGACACCAACACAGCCCTTCAATTTCCGGGTATCCGAACCCTACACGACGAAGGCCAGCCGATCATGTACCGCACCATGCAACGATACTGGGATCATGAGGCACACCTTTTCCAAGGATTCAATGCCGACGATATTGTCGATATCGAGCGACACTTTGCTGACGCCAAAGTACGCATCCAATTCTCAATCAACCCATCATTACAGCCCCAGGAGGAAACACTTAGCACACTCAACTACCGGCGCGAGATCGAGGACATCTGTCAGGAACGCTACGGCCTCACCTTCCGTGGCGGCCTCATGGAACATGGCCAGCAGCTCCTCGGCGATCCCCTCCAACGTACCGTCCAGGCATGGGCAGCTCCACGTCGTGGATACCTCTTCCTTCGTGACATCTCCGTGGTCATGGTATACCAATACGCTGGTGTGCTCGACAACGGCCTCTCCTTTCACCACCTCGAATACCCCAACCCATCCAAAACCACCCCCGGAGACCTCATGTGTGCTCTTCGCGCCCTTGGAGCAACAGACGCAATCATCCAAAGCCACACCCGTATGTCCGGAGCACATGGACCACGGGACCACTGGGCGGCCATTGGCTGTCTCTACTGGCCCTCCGAAGGTCAATACCGCTTCCGCCTCGTCTTCCCCAGCCAAAGCATGGCTGAAAACGTGTACGCCAACTTTCGCCGCCATGCAGCGGGCCCTGACAGACTTGACTTAGTCCCTCCCTCCATGATGCTCCTCCCCCTCCGGGACCTCTGCTGGGACAACCCCTCGGCCACCTTCTTCCACCCGCAAGCCCCGAGTGCCGCCAAACTTATGGACACCAAAGTGCGCATTGGCCGCCTCCCACCCCTCACGACTACAGACGACATCCTCGCGGCGCTCCGCGGATCCCACCTTCCCACCCCAGACGTCGACATCACCGGGGATGGATATGACACCCTTACCTTCGACACCCCAGCCCCCCTTGCCTTCCTCGGGTCCGCCTCAGGCTCCGATGGGGACACTTGACTCTATATTCGGGACATCGCCGTCCATCTGCATATCCTAACTGGTCGCCCCCGCCCGTCCGCCGCGCATATCCAGTGCCGCGACTGCGGGCGGTAGACATGACCACCAAGGCCAACCCTGTGTCCGTTTCACCTACCTGGACTCACGCGATCGGGCCCGCAGCAAATCCCAGCACAAACCTTCCGCACACAACACCGCGCGCGGCTCTGACACGCACGCACGCGGCAAAAGTAGCCACCAACGCGTGGGACAGTACTCCCGCTCTGCCTCCCAACACTTGGCCCCGGAGGAACGCCTACCCCAGGCCTGGCAACTACCCCTTCAGCGTCACCCGGCCCAGGCACCTAGACCCACCGCCGATCTCAGTCTATACCTAAGTCGTGAGCTCTCCACCTACGTGGATCAACGCATCGTAACAGCCACGGCCCCACTACGTCAAGAGGTTGAATCCTTACGGGCGGACAAAGAAGCCCGTGCAGCCCTTGTCTCTGCTTCCAGCACTGCCTTCTCCACCCTCGATGCGCGCCTACTCGAAGAACGACGCCTCCGTGAAGCCGCCGAACTACTACAAGCAGAGGACAACAAATCACGCACCGAGGCCCAAATCCGCTTACACACAGCTATAGCGCAACACGAGGCACAACAGGCCGCACTAGCTGCGCGCCTATCCTTCCCTGAATCCAGCGTACACACCCTCCTGCAAGCGATGCAATCCGTTTCCTCCCAAATGACTGCACTGGCAGGCCTTTGGCCCCTACCAGCCAATCCCTCCCCAGCTGCTCCTATGTCAGCCTTTCCCGACCCGACACCCCCTCCTGCTACCAACAACGCCGAACCATCGGCCCTTAGCCCAAGCCCCGATGCCAACATGGTGGCAGATTTTGATGAGCCCATGGAGTCAAACTAACTTCGGGGTGTCGGGTTAGACCGACGACACCCCGGCGCCGCCCCTGGTCTACAATATGGTGGTTCCCGAGTCTGTTACTCTGGTTCTGCTGCTACCTCCCCTTGGCTGCTGCCACCACTCACTTTCCCACGCCACCACTACCCCGGCCACAGCCACTATCACCACTCCTCTACCCCCCCATTTCAGTACACACATTCGGCCACCCGCCTGACCTCTACTCCTCCGACGACTCCAACAACTCTGAACAACTTGATATCCGCATTGCGGACGCACTCCAACCATCCTCACCGAAGACCCCCGACCCCAACTCTCTCCGACAACGTCGACGCCGCCGCACCTGGCGGCTTCAACGTTTCGCCCTCCCCCCACCCGACTCGAACACGGCCAGACTCCAACTGGAAAACGTCCTCCGGTGTGAATCCCTGAAGGGTGAAGCTTACATCGGCAACCCCGGCACGCCACCTCCTCCGAACCGCCGGATAGCTAGCCTACGTATTGCATCGACCAACATCAATAAAAACACGTATGGTAAACTGGGTGACGAACTGGCCACCTGGTTCCAGGCCAATGCCCTGGACTTCCTGATTATCGCTGACTCTGACCTCCCTGCACACAAGGCAACACAACTCTGGACTCCAACACTCAGTGGCTCCCTCACTCCACACCTCATGGCCATCAGTAACCACAGAGTCAGCCTACTCTATGACATCACACGTTGGCACTCACGCATCGATGCCCGACGCACAAACCTATTCCCCTTCGGGGCGCAGCATCTCCATATGTATCCGCCTCGGCAAAGGCTCCCTCATCACCCTCATAGGCACGTACTGCCAAGACATTCCCACTGCTCACCGCGAAGAGACCAACCTGGAATGGCAATGGCTCACCCAAGCTGCCGCACACACCACAGAACCACATCACTTTGTGGTCATGGGGGGAGATTTCAATACATATGGCACCAATCCCCTCGACCGCTCTGCTCCAACACCCCGGTCTAGCTCCAGCACTGACATGGGCACTGCTTTCCAGCACTGGCTGGAACGCATTGGGCTATCATCTACCTTCCGCTACCGACACCCCAGCCTCCAAAGACATACCTACACTCTCAACAACACTGCCGTAGCCCTGGACGACATATACATCACATCACGCACTGCCCACAAATTGGAGGCCAGTGGCATCTGGCTTAACACTATACACTCCAGTGATCATGCGGGCACCCCCTTTATGACCCTTAATCTCTGCCCTGGCGACCACACGCCCTCACGCCTCTCTGGGGCAAACCCATCAGGGTCGTCAACACACGACATCTTACAAAGGACGAAATCTCCACGTTTGGCACACACACCTCTAATCTACTCCTCGCCGGCCAACTTCCCCCCCTGCTCCCGCCCCCCCCCACATGCGGCCACGACATGGACACCGCAAGCCACCACCGAATGGCTTGAAGGGGCAGTACAAAACCTCTACGATATCCTATACACCAGCGCCAAACTCAAGTGGGGGGAAACCAGCCAAACCCGCAAGGCCCTCAACAGGGCAGTGGTAATACAACGCACAAACCGGTGCACCGCGCAGCTCCGACACCTGCTTCGACTCCACGAAGCTTGCACCCTTACAGGGACTGAATACCGTCGTCTCGCCCATATGGTAGAATGTCCCAAGTGGATAAGAAATCCCATGCTACTCCCGACCACATGGTGGCACCGGCCGGGCGCCATCGCGGTGGGAGACTGGTGGACCACCATGCCCTCAGCACAGGATACCACCCACGCTTGGGACCGTTGGCTCCGGCAGGGCATAGCACGCTGGGCCAACGTATGCCGCAAACGGCGGGACTGGCGTACCATTGCATCCGCCAAACGCGTGTACAACAACGCACTGCCTGGTTTCAAGGCCGACAAACACCGAAATTCCTCCGATCGGCGATCGGGGCCCCTATACCGCCCATCTCCATCCAAAGTGCCATAGTACGTACAGACGATGGCCCCCACGGTACAGCTCCGACCGAGAAGAGGTGGCAGCAGGTCTCCGACATCTGCTTGATAACTGGCCCCCCCCCCGCCGAGAAAACCACACGCCCCAGACATCTCGACTCCGGACTAGCAGCGGGCCGCCAGCACGTACCACACTTTGTCCGCGAATGGCTCCTCCATGACATGGATCGCCCTGATGCCGTAGCACCGGCCTTTTAAACCCCCGAAGGCTCCACATGGGACTCCTATCACTACGATGCAGCAATGCAAGCCCGATGTGACCGCAGTCTACGTACGCGGGTTTCCCCCGGTCATGGAGGTGTCTCACAGGAACTCTGGATTGCAGCCCCAGCATGCATCCGGGCAAGGGAACGTACCATCATCAACCTCATCCTACGTACAGGCCTGGTTCCACCGATCCTCGGACGCAAACAGATGATCTACCTCGCGAAATCAGCCACCGCCCACGGCGTGGTGAACCTGGACCCTGGCCTCCCTCCATGGCGTCCCATCACTGTCCAGAGTGCCTTCAGCAGCCGCCTCTTCACCGTTATACGGGATTACATCTCCCCCTGCATACCCAACGAAGAGATGCAACATGGCTTCCAGCGTGACCGCACTGTGCAGGATGCAGTTGTGCTCACCTCCCTACTCCTCGAACGCGCCGAACGCCGGCAGGAAGAGCTATTTCTCATCTCCAAGGACTGCTTAAAATGTTTCGATCGCATCCCTGGCTGGGTGATGGAGTACATCTACCGTAAACTCGGTGTCCCTTCCCCGCCAGCTCATGGCCCACTTTCTTGGGGCCAGCCAAATTGATATCCGCACAGCTTTCGGATGGCTCGACGGCGGCATACGTGAATTCGGACTCGGCCAGGGTTCCATCCTAGCAGTCATGCATATTGGCTACTATATGGATGTTCTCATACGCCAACAACAGGGCGGCACCGACTCTGTATACATCACGCACAGTCAACACCCTCACGGCACCCAAACACGCACCATCTCCAGTCTACTCTTCGTCGACGACGCTCTCGATGTCTCCACCACATATGCTGGCATCCAAGACCGTGCCACCGTATCCAACCAATTCACAGGACAAACCGCATCGGGCGGAGTTTTCGGTGCGGACAAATCCTTCCTCATCTACCTCTCCCCCCAGGCCCACCCCGCTATAGCCCTCAATGATGGGCTTGGAAAACCCCAACCCATACAGGTAGTTGCACCCACAGAGGGCTTCCGACACCTGGGTATTCACCAAGGCACCCACAACCAATAGTTTGGCTTAAACGAAATACCCAGGCCGATGCTATTGCCCCACGAGGCCTTGGAAAAAAGGAACTCCAGTACATCATAAACGCTGTTTGGATTCCCAGCGCCCTCTACCGCACAGCGATCAGTGATGCCATTAGTATCGGCCCTGCCCTCGACACACTGTTCCGCAAGACGGCACGCCGCGTTCTCCGTTTACCACATGACCACCCCAATGCGTGGTTCTACGATCCTAAGGACGGACTAGGCCTCGTCCACTGCGAACGCTTCAGCCACAGCCAGCGGCTCTACCAATTCCTTCGGATTGCCAACGACAGAGGCTCGCCTGCTCACGACATCCTCATGGAATCCCTGGAAGCATACCAACTAGCGAGCAGCCTCACGGACCACCCACTGGCCTTTCGCATCCCACCACCCACCTCGGACACTACCTTCCTTGGTACACTGGTCCGGGATCTGGCTACCTTCCAACCTGCGCTCACCATCGCCACACAGTAGCACCAACCCCGCGCCAGCCGCCCTCATCGTCCCAACGATCGGCCCATCTGGGCTCACCTCACCCCCGCTCTAGGCACCACCCTCATTTCGCTTAACCGCTCCCACAACATCAAAGTCCGATGGGTCGGTGACATACCAACGAAAAAGGCACCATGCTACTCAGCCTTTCATCCCTCCGTACCAAGTTTGGCTGGTCCCGCGCAACACTCCAACGCTTTGCCCCCATCTGGGATGCCATCCCCATTGCTACGCCGACTGACCCAACCATAACACTCCCGCAACTGACCCTCCCATGGGGTTAACCACCTGCCAACCGCCCGCTCCCCCCCCCCCCCCCCGTCACAGCTCCGATCCCACCTCCCTTACCTAGCCCAACCCCTCGGCCGCACATTCTTCACTCCCTCACGTGGGTTCGACGCCATCCACATCCCGCTCCATGCCATGCTCGTCGTCCCGCACCACCTTAACCACCAGGACGGCCGACCTGCCACACTCAGCTACCGCATAGGAAGGCGCACCAGCCTCCAAACCGCCACGCTCCTACCGGCCCCGAAATTGCCGTCACCTTCTGGCATGAAATCCGTAGGGGTTCCGACATCTGGTACTCACCTATGCCACGCGAAGCCCGGGGACGCCTCCGCCTCGTCCCCATGACTGGGTGTGCAATCCTAGCTGGGGACCTCATCCGCACCAGCCGCGCCCAACGCCACAAGTTCATCCCCTGGAACGACACGACATGAACACATCCGCGCACGAACCACACACACCGTGGCAGTAACCACCGCTCCCTTATTGCTTCCACGGCGGCACACAGTGAGGACCAGGCTCAGCGTTCACTCACACAATCACCCCCCCCCCATGCCACACCTGCCTGTACTGCCTGCCACCGCTTTGCAGACACTACAGCCTGCATTGACTGCGGGCAGTGGCATCACCCTGCCTGCATCGCCCACTGCCGGATCGTTCCTCACCATAGCGCACCTACATACGGACTCCACACTCTCCCCCTCCGCGCCTCCCGCACATACTCATTTGGCGATGGCAGTGTAACAAACCAGGGCACACTTGCAGCTCATGGCACATGGAGCTACTTGGGCCGCGACGGCACAACCCTGGTAGGGACTATAAACATCCATCCGGATCACATCACCCCCACACGCTGCGAAATACACAGCCTCCTCGCAGGCCTACACCACTCCGGAGATGTTGCGCTCCAAATCTGCGACAACACCACGGCCATTGGCCTCATTATTCTGGCCAGGTCCCTCAAACGCCGCGGAAGACAACCCCGATACAGCAACATCCACAGAGTGGAACTTCGCTCTCTCATGGACCTACTCGCACCGGAGGGCACGTTTGCAGGTGAATGGATACGCTCACATCAGATCACAGCAGACACGCCGGACCCGGCCTACGGGCCAAACCTAGAGGAAGCTGACTCCCTCGCCACACTGGCCCACCAGCTCCTCCCACGGACCAACTACGCCCACCTCATCATTCCCTACTCCTGGGAACTTCGGGATAACCACAACAGACCAGTCACTGGCGCCATCGCCCCCTGGCTTGGTGCAATCTACGGCAAGCGAAACTGGTCCTCCACGCAAGCACACAAACCCGATGCCCGCCGCACAATCCAGCCGTCACGCCTCAACACTGGGGAACTATGCAAGTGGGACCTCCCTGCACTCTCCTTCTATTGGCGTGCCGTATGCTACACCCTCCACACGAATGCACGCAAGCACCGCATTCAAAAACCTGGGACGCCCACTGTCGTACATGCCCAGACTACCTCGACACACAGGAACACCGCTTTGGACTTACGCACCCGCAATGCCCCGGGTCTGCCTCCCTCACACAAGACCTCCTTCTCGCCACCCAAGCCGTCTCCCAAAGCCTGGCTTCCCGACCAAGACATATACCTTCCCGGGCAATGCAACGCCATCACTAGTACCTTCACAGGCCAGACAAGACCCCAATGGCACACACGCAGTCGTAACCCCTCCCCAAACTCGGGCCAATGCATGATCGCGCTCACACCTACACGCTGTGTTCTGGCTCTCCACATGCATCGCCTCCTTGGCCCACCCTGCCAGGCAACTCTTGCTCTCATGGCCACCCACCTTTACTGGGAATCTACCCAATGCCGGAAGCCGGGGGGGGCTACTACCCCGCTGGCTCTACCACACGGCCCTCAGCTGCACACCCCTCTAGCACCCCGAGACGTCTGGTTCGGCCAATGGATGGGCGGCCCCAACGGAGCTACATTCCAAGGCCCGCTTGGAGCTTCCACACACTGCATCATCCCCCGCCCCACCACAAATAACCACTGATGGATCGATGCGACACACCATCCCTTCTCCACCCCCTGGTGGCGCTGACTCTCTGCGGAAATCCAAACCACAACCGCCAGCCACACAACAGCCACATATTGGTTCGTGATTCCCGACGGCTCCCCGGGCCATGCACTAGCCTCTAGCCTCACCACCACATGGCTCCTCATCATACCCGCGGGCCAACTCCTCCTCCGAGCTATCACCGCCGTACACCATACCACCACACCCCAATGGGGCAAGCTCACCACCAGCAACCCAGTCCCCATTCACATTGGCTTCCTCACCACCAGCACCAAAACCCCCCTTCTGACCCTGGCCCAACTACACTGGACCGCGGCTCTCCGCCCCTTGGACGTCGTTCACTGGCTCCATCGCCCCCCACCCCAGATGCCCGCCCACGGACACCAGCAACACCTCCCCCAGGATCCTCACAGCCCCTACCCACTGCGTCCACTGGGCCCAGACCAATATCCCCATGTACGACCAATACGCCCAGGCCTCGTGTACCTACCTCGAAGCTACATATCCCACCATCTACTCGGCTACCACCGGCTGGAAAATGTTTTCCACCATGACGCAATCCACACGTGACTGGGCAGCCTCCCTCACGCACCTACAAGCCCCCCACTTCCACAAACAGTGGTTCTCTGCTCACTGGGCTATCCTCCGCCAACACTGGGGAACCAAATGTACCACCAATATGGAACAAATACGCACCGCCGGGGACCCCCCCCTCCTCACAGAGATTAACAATAACATTAGGCTCAAACGCGTACACCACGACACCGCCCCAACGGGCCATGGTCGCCGCATACGCACCCGCGGTGCCCACCTGCAAGCCAAGACACGTGACAGGCACTCCCGTCGACTCTCCTTGCTGCCACTGGCCACCTCATCACCCCCGGTAAGCGATGCCCCGCCGATCCGGCCCCCGCGACGGCCCCCCGACCCTCAAGGACGACCTCCAGCAGCCTAAGCACATCGTTCTCCTGGAGTCTGCAACAAATAGGTTTTCCAACTAGTTATGTCCGCTAGCTCCAAAAGCAGCTAGTACGCGGCCGAGGCTGAGTGATCTTAACTTTACAGCGTAATATCAATCAATATCAATATCGGTACCTCGAAGTCTCCACGGAGCATTTGTACTCCGCTACACTACTCTACTCGTCTTACATCATATCGCATACTACAGTAATACTCTGTACTACCGGTAGTACTAGTAGCAAAACATCCAGCTAATAATCATGAGGTTGAGGGTTCCAGTCCCGCGACAGCCAACTTTCTTTATAAAACTCTCGATATGGCTTTTCTAGAACTGAAGATTCCAATCACTACGTGGACACCCATGTGTAGCCTTAGGTACAAAACTCGCTGAAATAACTCTTCTAACGAGTTATCGTTGCATTGATATAAATCCAAACTTAAAGAAACCGTGTGAATGCCTTGCGATTCAGGCCCCTAAAGGACGATTGTTGTTGTTGATGAACGGTGCATTATTTATTTTAAATAATGCTAGCGTGTACTAGTACCCCAGTTCTTAAGTGCGAATTAGTTGCACCTACGTGCTTTTGGATCCTATATATTATGTATGTATGGAAAGGTGTTTCTTATAAGTTACCGGTATCTGCATCGATATTAGGCAGGGGTCAACACAGATGGGTCCACTGTGAGAGTTGCAGCTTACAGAAATGCCCCTAATATGAAGCGAACCAGCTGAGGGAGTGTCAAACACCTCCATCTGGCTAATAGCTAGCTGGCCCAATAGCTTACAATAAACAACGAGCATACTATTGTGCTTTGCAACAAAGGCAAAAGTGGGTGTATACGGCGTAAGCATAGGATAAATCAATGCTAACGTTACAAGGGTCGTTGGAAATGTAAGCTTACTCGCCACCAACGTTAGCGATGTTAGCGTACGGTCTCTATGCTACAGTTCTCTCTGGTTTCTACCGTCTTTCAGCCACAACTCACTACTACTTCATGTGTCTCTTTGTTCTGTTGTTTGCTGACAATCGTGCTTCACCAATGTCGACAGTGTCCAAGTACAATGCCCTCTGATTGGTTACTTATATATATTATTTATAGCCAATCACAAGTTGTAATGAGGTCATTGTTCGATTTGTAGTCTCGTGCTTACTAGTACTGGCATCGGCCACTACGTTGCAGGGGAGGGCTCCTGCCCAAGCAACCTTCAGCCTCTGCTGCAAAATATGGTACATTCTATCTACTAGTTACGTAGGATATAGCTATGGTATGCCAGGTTCCGTGCAGAAACAGCAGCAATAAGACCAGACTGATCACTCGAGCTAACGTCGGCTTGTGGAACGTAGGATGGATTTCAGCCTACGCCACAAGCCGACAAAGATTCGCCCAGGGCGAATGGTGGCTTGAAGTAAACCGCACACGATTGCATCGTGGCCACCAGCCTTCAATTGCAACACCTTGTGGCCGAGCTGGCAGGCGTACCATACCCCCAGTGGTTTTCCAACAACAACCCATGCGAATTGTTCAACAAACACTTCAAAGGTTTGTGGTCAATCCAGTTGGATCTATACTTCAGTTCGACCTAACGTTGTACTTGTAGGGATATACACCCAGCGCACAGTTCATGGTTTATGCGCAACGTTCCTTCTGCTGGGCACAATAGCCGAAGAGATATCGACGTACAGAGCCCAACCATTTGAAACGAGCCCATCGACCAGCAAGAAGTTAATTCGGCGCTTTCGGCGTTTGGTAAAGTTTGCGCTGTTAGAAGTTGTCGCCCCCAATCCAGCGTTTGAATCCGAGGTTGTCCCCCCCATTCCTGCCATTGGAAGTGAGCCCGAGAACACGCGGATTCGCAACATTATCCCTCATTTTGCCATTTCAGTGGCAATTGCGTTTGAAGACGAAGCCACCGAAGGTGCCTTGTGGATCGCATTGCAGGAGCGCGGTATTACATATGTACCCGCACGCGATTTGGCCCTCGCCAATGCATACTACCACGGCGACCGGGCGAACAACATACGCCACGAATCTATTTGCGGTGGTCGTCCCCAACTGCCAAATGGTTGGCTTGTGACAACTTCCCCGGGACACTTATCCTGCGAGTGCAACTACTTCTTCAAGATGAAGTACTGCTGCCACTTGCTATTTGCGCTGCAAGTACAGTTCAAAGACGTGCGGGGCATGCCTTTGCCCCCTAAGCAGTTTGTTCGAAATGTAGCCCGACGAAGCGAGACAGCCCCGCGATTCTCTGGCCGTCGCCGAAGCTCTGGGGTAGGAGGAAGAAACGTTCGTAGTAGGCGTAGTGTTGGCCCACCACTAGCCCTGTCCTGACAAGGTAATCACGGTGCATTAGTAGTTAATACTCAATGTATACACTGCTAAATAATTCTCTTGCTCGAGTACGTTTGGTTTTATGATGCAGTGGGGGGGTGAACCACCTGCACCCGTGTCCCACGATTCCTGCTATCTCCGACCGAACCCACAAAGTACTGTTTCAAGGGGTACTACCTCGTACAACCCCCAATGCCCATCAATCAGGTAGCTTTAGTGAAAAGCAGAACTGACTATGAATATAAATAATAGAAATATGTATGTACTAGAAGTTAGACTTGAACTCGGGGCCGTTGGGTTGTTAAACTGACAGCGTGCGTGAAGATGGTGGAGTTGAATTATACCTTGTGTGTTCTGAATTGTACTTTTGTGTGGTTGGGATTAACCTCGTCCCAAGGGAACTTCCATTCGGGGGGTTCACCGCCCTCGTGCCATGACACTCACACGAGTTGTGTCGACTACGACGTATACATTACGGGTTTACATTGCGGGGCGGATTCCAATGAATTGTCGGTCGATGCCTCGTCCCACGTAACGGTTCACGTTTGTC